AAAAGCTGATCCTCAAGCTGATAAAGCTGAAGCTCTACAAGTTAACGAAGAAGAAGAAGAAGAAGAAGAAGAAGAAGATTCTGGCTGGGCAGCTGAATGGTCATGACCGCAGCATGCAGTGGGTTTAAACATCATGTAGTGCCAAATCTCACTGAGCCATATGTTTCTGATCGGTAATCACAAATGACCCGTCCAGCTCTCCGGAATAAAGGCATTTTGTTATCCCCATCCTGTTTGGACTCCACTTCATCTCTGCTGCTCACCCTTTCCCTACTTCCCTCTCTCGTTCGCTCTCAGACCCCAGCGAGTAGGTGATGCAGCATTAAGCTCTCTCAAACAAGGGTCACATAACTGAAACCCCTCAGGGCACGAGGAGGGGAGAACCATGTGTTCTGCCTCGGCTCCAGCTCTAATTTTAGACATTTTCCCTGCAATAAAAACTGCACTAGCGAGGCTGAAGCGAGCTCTGTACGCTGCACCTATGGAGAAGCAGAAAGGACGTCAGCATTGACGAGGTGCGAGGGCGTGGTGCTCCGGGCTTTTCCAGCCGACTGCTCAGTGAGGAGAAACCCAGCAAAAGAAAACAAAAGAGGAATATTTCTTTCCACTGGGCTGGAAGAGCGCAGGGACGTTAAGTAGCAGGTGATCAGGGTTTTCACGGCACCCGAGCAATAAGTATTCCATGACTCACGACTCGATTAGAAAACACGCAAGAAAATACACATTTCCCAAATTCCATTTACGATCATTCCTGTAAATAATAAAGCAATAACGTGGCTTAAATGCACTCCGGTGTCTCGTTACGGAGCTGCGAGTGGAGAGTGGTGACGCATCAGAGCGTTAGAGGAGCTGGCGTTCCTCTGGAGAGGAACCAGAGAAGAAAAGGAGGGAACACAAGGAGTCAAACTACAAAGTACATGTTTTGTTGAGCTTCTAGGTGTAAATACGTTCATACATCCTCTAGAGGGAAATAAACACTGATACGGAGCTTTCTGAAAAATGTTGTGCACTGTTTTTACCTTTTGCTGAGTTTAACATATTGAAAAAAAACAAAACTAAATATAAAACGTGCCAGAACTTTTGCACAGGCCACATTTTAAGTTTATGTTAAATTCAGTAAATAAACAGTGCAAAAAAGTGTGTGTAGAAGTGTCTCTGTAGAGGACGTGTGAATTATTTACACTCAGAAAAACAACAACAGCATGGAGTTTCACCAGGGGTGCACAAACTTTTGCACACAGGCCCGCGTATTCAATACTAACAAGTACAGAAAAATTCTCTGTCATTCAAAAGCAGATTTCAATACCTAAACATTCAGCATAAGCGACCCAGCAGGCATGCCTGCTCCAAAATCCAGGCTGCTGATTGGCTCTTAATATTATACGCCATAAATAAACCATGCAGAAGTTTGGAGTCGCTCGTCATATTAATAATCGCTGTTATTACAGTGCAGATTGAAGTATTACAAGCTAAACACCGGAAGGAATTTGAACACGTTTTTTGGGAAGAGCAAAAAATAATTAAATGATAAATAATAAAATAATTTTTATTTTATCATCACTTTTTAAATACGAGGCGCTCTAGGTATGAACAGAACTTCATTCTAGATGTAAACTTTGTTACATCATAATCCTAGATATTAATTTATTAGGACTTTTTTACATTTTTATTTACATATTTATTGGAACATCCTTCTAGAAATTTATTAGAACTCTTTTCTGTGTATTAATTTATTAGGAATTTATTCAAGATGTTTATTTTATCAGTATTTATTCCTCAATATTAAATATTAGGACTTCATTCTGGATGTTGAGCCTTTATTATAGTTTGGAACGTGGCCCATTTAAACAGTTCAAAGTATTAACAGTTACTGTACTGAACTGTTCACAGTGCTGTAGGACTGAACACTCTACACTATCAGTAGAACTCCTGAAAATAAAGACATGTAAACACACAGAGAGTCGACACTCACACTTCTTTTTGTATCAGGAGTCAGATTTGAAGGCGAGGCTGGATCCGAGGCAGCTCAGTGTTCAGCTGCGTCACCGTAAAACCTCACAATATAAATATAGAAGATCATCATCAATATTAATCTCGGTCGGCACTGAAATGAGAAACAGTTTGTGGTCCGTCTGCCAGAATGGGATGGTGGGCAGGAGTGACTGAGTGAGTGGGCGAGCGAGTGAGTGAAGAAGTGAGAGACTGAGCAAATGAGAGAGTGGGTAAGCGACTGAGTGAGAGAGTGGACGAGTGAGTGAGTGAGTGATTGTGTAAGTGAGCGAGCGAGTGAGTGAGCGGGCAACAGAGTGAGTGAGTGAGTGAATGAGTGAGAGGAAAAGTGGGCAGGCCAGCGAGTGAGTGAGTGAGTGAGTGGGCGAGCGGAGTGAGTGAATGGGCGGGAGAGTGAGCGAGCGAGTGTGTGAGTGGGCGAGAAAGAGAGCAAGTGAGTGAACAAGTAGGTGAGCGAGTGAGTAAATGGGTGGGCGAGAAAGAGAGCAAGTGAGTGAGCGAGTGAGTAATGACAGAATGAAGGAGGGGGGACTGAAGGGAAGAGGGGAAAGAGGGAACCCTGGTCGGCTGTTCTGGTGCGACTCTAAAGGGATGAGGTAAAGGCGGGGCAGGTGAGTCACTTGAGCCACTGAGCAGCTACCACAGCTTCTGGACAAACAGAAAACCCGAGGCGGTCCTAAAGCGGTGGAAGAGCAGGGTGTGCATGACTCTGCAGAACTGAACAGAACAGAGGATAAAAACAAAGAACAGGAGACTCTATTACTGTGTTCTATTACTCTATTACTACTCTATTACTGTGTTCTATTACTCTATTACTACTCTATTACTGTGTTCTATTACTCTATTACTACTCTATTACTGTGTTCTATTACTCTATTACTCTATTACTACTCTATTACTGTGTTCAACTAGTGCAGAGCTGATAACCTTCAGCATCACCGTATCAGCATTAAATACAGTTAATGAGCCCATTAATTTAGTATTGATACTAATACTAAAGAAGTCATCGTTAATAAAGTCAGTAAGTTAGCATTAATAAGTTTAAGGGCATTATATCAAGAATATAACGCTCATTATCTATTGAATATATCAATAATAATATCTTTAAAACTGAAACCTAATATTACAGTGAGTTAATTAAGCAATAGGCAATGAGAGGCCGTCCGTTACTGGAGTATGTTGTTGTTGCTAAGCAACCACTGACTGCTGAATGAGGAGACATTCGGTCGCCAATTGTATAACAGTGAACATATGATAACACAGCACTGTTTAATGCAAATACTTTCAGTATATAAATACTTTTTGGCCACCAAGTTACCACCGCGAGTCTTCTGCCAGTCTGACGACGCCACTTTTCTCACGCTGGGGCTGAATCCCAGATGGGTCCCTGCTCCCTACATAGTGCACTACGCAGGAATTTAAATACTGACTCCTGCAGCCCAGCAGAGCAAAATACAGCTAAAATGGTCATTTGGGATTCAGACACATTCAGACTCGACAGGCAGTCACTATTCAACAGCAGAAGCTACAATTTCTAAACTTAATATCACACAGATAGACACCCTGTTTAGGGAGTACAGAGCCGTTTGGGATTCAGCCTGGGACATTTGAAGTGTGTAAGACATTCGAGTGACGTTCTTTAGACTTTATATTGCCATTTTTCAGTGAATCATATTGTGAGTTCTTTATTTCAAGCCTGTGATATTAATGATGGAGTTGTTTTAGCATGTTTGCTATCTTTTAGCCTGTTAGCTAGCTGACCAGCCTAGTTCTAGATAAGAAAATAAGTTGTCAGCTCCTCAGTTTAAACAAAAACAGGTTCTTACTTCATAAGTGCACTCAGTGCTCCGTATGATCAGCATTAGAGTCAAAGATTATTCCATTAACAGCACCAGGGCTCTTTCGTGCCGTGGCGCAGTGATACAGAGTTCAGCTGACGTGAGGCGTCACAGTCGTGGTATATTGTAGATTTCATAAGGCTTCGAATGCAGATAATCAGATTTTAGGACTGGAACTATCCGTTTTGTAATATAACGCCAAACTGACACAGAGCTCTGCATGTCATCCTCTGATTAATGAGCATAAATGCAGTCGTTTAATGAACTGTCCCGTGTTCAAAGGCAGATTAGCTTTAGCACAGAGCTAAAAGTTATTGCTCACATAAATTCTGTCAGGTCTGTTTGGTCATACAGCAGTTTCTCGGTTCTGTCTGTTTTTCTAGAGTTCTCCAAGAAAGCCAAACTCGTTATTCTTCAGTCACTGACCAAATCAAAATATCAACACTGATTCAGCTCCACTGTGACAGCGTTCATATGGACAGAATTACGGGCTAAACAGGAACTCTGCTGTCGTTAAAGCACTAAAACCTCCTACAGGAGCTTAAAGGAGCCACTAAACACTGCTATAGAATAAAAACACAAACGTGTGTAATGTGGAACACAGAACATATACAGGAGATGAATACATACTGCCCTACACTCTTAAAGGAGACAGTTCTTTAAGGGCTCTTTAGTAAAGACAATGGTTCTATGTAGAACCATGAACACTCAAAGAACCCTTTGCATGCTTACATGGTTCTCTGCATGGTGAACGGGTTCTTCAGATTGATGGAGAATGTGCTGTATGTATCAGTGTTACAGTGACTCAGTAAAGAGTTCTGACACAATGCTGCCACTGCTGTTTAACATGCCCAACAACTAAGCAAACCTGCTCATACGGCTCAGTCAGTGACGTATCTAGAACTTCCAGAATGACATTTTCCCCACAGAAGTGGTTCCCTTTGTTGTAATTTAGAGCATAATTGTTTGTTTCCTCTGTTACTTCCTCATTTCAGGCCTCATTCAGCAACATCATCCTTTTTTTCAGGTTTGTTCTTAAGTGTGTTCTTGATAAAGATCCTGAGAAAAAGTCTACGTCAGATTCATGTCATGTTCTTAAAGCGCAGAACTGTTCTCACCTTTGTGCTCTTGACTGTGTGTAGATTCTGTTCAGTTTGGTTTAAAGAAGAAATTTCTTCTTAAGAACGGTTGGTGAATCAGACCCATTGTTGGTAGTTCACGTGTAAGGCCTTCAGTCCAGTTCCTGAAGTCCTAACCAATGGGAGAGCTCGTTCAGCTGTACATACCTAGATGCCATGGAGAGAACAATCCTGATTGGATGATTTTCAAGATCTTAAGTCTTTGAAGTTCAATTAACACAACAACCATTATCTGACCTTGTACTACACTCTTAAAAAAGATTCTTTAAGGGCTCTTTAGGAAGGAAAATGGTTCTATATAGAACCATGAACACTCAAAGAACTCTTTGCATCATGATTAAAGAGTTCTTTGCATCACAAAAAAAGGTTCTTCAGATTGGTAGGGAATGTGTTGCTTACGGTTCTACATAGGCCCTTTTTGAATAGGTTTCTATGTGGCACCAAAAAGGGTTCTGCTATTGTAACAATGTCAAGCTTGTAACAATAGCAGAACCCTTTTTGGTGCCATATAGAACCATATAGAACACATTCTCCATCAATCTGAAGAACCATTTCTTGATGCAAAAAACTTTTAATCATACAAAGGGTTCTTTGAGTGTTAATGGTTCTATATAAAACCATTTGTCTTCACTAAAAAACCCTGAAGAACCGTCTTTTTTTAAGAGTGACAATATTTTAATATTTTATGCACTTCAGGAAAAACTAACTGCTTGCATTTGGTGTTTATTTGATGTTAGTTATCATAATAATAATAACAGTTCTCATCGCTGTTAGACCAAAACCTTGTGTCTCCAAAATGAGCATCTTAAATGAGGTTGGGAGGGACTGTAAACTTAACTTACATTGTAAACATAGACAGATTTTGTTCATCTCTATTGGTCCCTTCATCACACAGCTGATAGTTTTAAATCGTGTCAAAAAATGAAAAACGTCCACAAAAGAAGGAGATGTAAGGTTTTGCTCCGACAGCAGTGACGCGCTAATTGTGTTAACACAAAATATCAATTAAATGCGAATCGTTTCAGTGGAAAATCTTTTACTTCGACTGCTTTAATGACTGTGCATCTTACACAACACAAAATAGTGGAATACTCCATGGAACGCCATCAGTCACTTTAATCGGGATCATGTGCGGCCGCGGAGCGAAATTGCTGTTTATTGTGAGATTTAGATATATATAGCGGCGGCTTAGCGACGGACTTACTGATATTTACAGTGAGGCTCTGCCAGTGAGCAGGCTGTGGCATGTGAATCTGTCTGGTGTGAGAACAGCAGCTCTTCCATCGAGTTCTAGATTATTTCTGCGGTTCTACGAGTACGGTTATGAGCTGCTGGGAGTATTTACGCCAGTGGTTTCCATCTTTCTTGTCTATTTGTGATAAAGATCAGTGGTTGGGTTCTTACATAAGACCCCTTTGCCCATTCTACACTACCCTACAATTACCATCGCCGGTTGCCACATCCATCTCAGCCTCAGTTTAGTGGTCTTATACGTTTATTGCATGTTATATTGCACAAGATGCTGCAACTGAACTCTCGGCCAAATTATTCTGTAGCAGACTGTGGACGTCAGTTATGCTCACGTGCTAAAGGTTAGATTATGTGATAAAGATTATCTGGCAATGGGCCTATGATGGAAAAAAATGATGAATTTCTGCTTTCACATTCTATTTTTGCCAAAAAAGGGAGTCTTAGCCAAAACAGTGGTCTGAAAAAACACAATAAATGATGAAGAAAGAGAGTTTGAAGCATTTTGTGGCTGGGAAATGAGGGCAACATGTGAGTGAGGTCAGGAGGCCAATTTTAGTCCAGTCAAAATAGCCATTAAGTACAGTTTATTCATTTCTCAGTATCAGGAAAAAGAAAACACATTTAACAGAAAAATTACACAGAAGCCACAGCAGCTAAATCTAATATAACATCTTAAGTGAGTGACTCTTTCCCTTTATTCCAGCTTCCATTCTGTTCAGGAGACTCACTTTCAGCTCCTCAAAGAATCTGCAGACACACCTCCAAAGTTCAGTCTTAGAAGCTGGTTGATGATTTTCTGAAGTAACCAAACACATTCAGTGGTGTTGAGGTCTGGACTCTGGGGTGGTCAGTCCATCGTTCAGCTTCTTTGTTTGATGTGTCCGTCTCCTTTTCTCAGTGAGGTTCTTCTTGATCAGCTACACATCCTTTCAGACCCATAGCGCTGAGTCGTCTTCTCACAGTGGAAGGATGGACAGAAACACCTGTGGATGTTTTCAGATCTGAAGCAGCTTGATTTTCTCCTCTCTCTCAGAGATGAAAGCTTTAAGTGCTGTTTATCTGATGGGGCAGTTTTGGGGTCTACCAGGTCTCCCAGGTGGTTGTTAGGAGCTTTTAATCAGTTTTTGAACTGCAGTTTTGGAAACTCCTGTGTCTTATATCTAATCTCCTCAGAAACATCTCCTGAAAAATGAATAACTTGTACTTACTGGTTGTTTTTGACTGATTTGCGATGGTTGTCCATAGTATAAACCTGCTTTCCCCAATTTGAGTGCTATGACTGGGATTTGCATACTAATACTTGACCCCTGCTCTTCTGTCTTGCAATAGAAAAGACATTAATTTCTCAGCAGACTGCAAAATTGTTTTTGCTGGAGGAAATAAATGTCAGTATCGTTCATCGTGAAGAACAAAAAATAAGCTCACCAAAACAATATTCAGTTCCTGGTGGGAATTTAAGGAATTAAAATTCACTGCACTTGTGCTCCGTCAGAGACCCCGCTCCCCCCCGAGGCTCAGCCCTGAGTTTCTACTTTGGCTTGCTTTCTTACATTTTGTCAAATTCGCTTATCATTCACATGCCGGACACTGTAGCTTTCCACACTTCTCCTCAGTGCGCTGGAGTGCTTGGAAAAAGGGCGCACAGGTAGAAAAATCCAGAAGAAGGAGCGAGAAGCCTGAGCCTGGCATCACTGCTCCAAAATACTACTTTTCTTGGAGGGCTTTCAAAAACTGCCCAGTTTTTCCCTTCAGCGAGTGGCTGCCGAGGTCCCAGCTGTTTTCTTTGCGCCGCATTTTCTTTTTTTTTCGCCAAACAGTTAATCATAATAACAACACCATTAGTAGCTGACGTCAATAAGAATTACACTGAAAGGTGATTGGTGTAAATCACTACCATAATGCCCCCGGCGCGGCCCGACTGGACGCAGTTTTCCCTCGTCCTTCTTAAGTGAGTGGAAAAAAGAATGGGAAAGCGTTTATAGAAGATTAAGTTATGGACCTGTTTCTAATTCACTTTTCTACCATGTGGAAGTCAATAAAGATTTAGCATAAGCTGCATATAACTGTTTAATACATGACTACTGACCACCACAGGAAGGAGAAATCGTTTTGACTTCTCTCTGAGAAGAAATACCATGCTGACCACCACAGAGAGTGAACAGGCTTTCAAAGAAAGGAAAAAAATAATAATTTGAAAACCAGACAGAAAATGTATTATTAAAAACTGTTGGTATCCAAAAACTGTTGTATTAAAATGTATACTCTCAAATGTTTCATATCTATAAACTTGACCATTTGCATGTTAATACAGGCCAATAAAACTTACCCCAGCACTGACCCCTACTTAGGGCTGGAACATGTATAGAATATTTACAAAATACAGACAGATTAAAGGTAAAACAGAAGAGCAGCTCTTCCTCAGGAGCCTGAGAACATCAAAGCTGGATGTAGAATGTCAGTGAGATCATTCCATCTGCAACTACAGAGACAGAGAGGGATATTATACTTTTTCTTTATTTTTCCAAAATTTTCTCCCCAATTTATTCATTTCTAATTCCACCCACTAGTCACACAATCGCACGATACCACCAGCGCTAGGAGGGCGAAGACGAACACAGTCTTCCTCCGAGTTCTGTGAAGCGCCACCACAGCGTCGCTGTACAGCTGAACACACCCAGAGGAAACCGCCAACCGCCAGATCTGTTTCGTCAGCTGACAGACGCCTGTGCTGACTAGCATCGCGCTAAGTGATGGTGGGGGGACGGGGGGGGACATCCAACCGACCCAGAGAGAGCGAGGACAACAGTGCTCTCTTGGACTCCCGGCCTCTGACGGCTGTAGCATCACCAGAACTCACGATCTCCTGATGACAGACCCAACACTTAGACAGTTGTGCCACTCGGGAGCCCCCCGAGGGATATCATACTTGAGATGCAATGCATAAACCCCTCATTACAAAGATCAATGACCATCTGAGAGGTCAGCTGTGTAAATACCATCAGCACTGGTCTAGAGACATGAGGAAAACAGTGATATGGTTAGACGAGTCATTCGTGTTCTCCAAAGGTGGGAGAGGGCATGCGCAGCGTACACCAAGAGAACGATACAGGCCTGAATGCTGGACCCCTAGAGTTAGGGGGTCTGTTACGCTGTGGGGGCATTTTGCTGGCCTTTGTCTCCTTGCAAGTAATGGTTACCGCTAATCAATAATAAATTATACTGACTGATCACCTTTGTCCTATGACGTTATTTCTATTCTGATGGGCGCGGTCAGTGCCCCCATCAACAGGACATGAGAGGCCATTGAAGGGTGTGATGAATGTTATGGACTTCACAATAACCAGATCTCAACCTAGTTAAACACCTACAGAAGATCCTGGAGTGACGTGTTAGCCCACATCTCCACCGCCATCGACACAACACCAATTAAGGGAAGAACGGTGTTCCATTCTTCCAGAACAGTTCCAGAGACTTTCAGAATCTATGACAGGGAGCACTGAAGCTGTTCTGGTGGCTCAACATCCTACAAGACACTTTATCTTGTTCTATTAATGTGTCACTCAATTTGTCAGTCGTCAGTATCGTGGTCAGTGTTTCAGTATCGTGCACTACCTGCAGGGTAGTGGGTCATTATGTTTCTCCACTCACGTATTCAGGTTTTTACATTGTCTAGTTTGACTCCATTTGCTCCCTAATTTTTGGCACACATGAATCTCCTAAATCTTTATTTAAACTCTGATTAAAAGAGCCTCTGAGACATTTGAGGACAATGTTTCATTAGTCAGTTAATGGCATCTTCTGGCATCTCGGAAACCTCTCATCCCACCATTATCCCTTTTTTTCTCTAGAGCTCTTCTCCCTCTCTTTCTCCCCCCACTGCCGATGATGTATTACAA